GTGCATCACTTTGCACTTGTCAGTGTTGAATCCCATCCTATTCTCATCTGCCCACCCTTGTAACCTGTCTAGGTCCAATTGCAGCCTATTCCTCCCTTCTAGCATGCCCACATCCCCCCACATATTGGTGTCATCAGCAAATTTGAACAGGGTGCTTTTTACCCCCTTGTCCAAGTCGCTGATGAAAATATTGAATAGTGCGGGCCCGAGGACCGAGCCCTGCGGAACCCTGCCGCCCACATCCCTCCAGGTTCTTGTCATTATCTTACTTTATATCCTCTTGCTTTTATTCTTATTCATGGTTTAGAAAAGGAAAACCATCTTTCCAGCTGTTATCCCCCCCCCCCCCCCCCAAAAAAAATATTAAAAAATTCTCAACCTCAGATCTGCTGGTGGTTGAGGGCTGTCTCACTGGTGAGGGTTTAGCATGAGGCCCATGGGTTCCTGCCCAGCCACCTTTTCCCATTGCTTCTGCTGTGGCTTTGGCTGGGGTCTCTGTTTCCCCCTCCCTCCCTCTTGTTTCTACTTCCTTACACCATTCCTGGAAGTGGGATGGAGCTGTGGGAGTGGCTCCAGGGTGCTTGTGCTGTGTGTGTGGCAAGGAAAGGAGCCAGGCTGCATGTGTGGTGTGCCTGATGGAGGTGGGGAGTAGCACATGCAGTGGGGTGGGGAGCCAGGCTGCCCATGTATTGGGAGGAGGGACTGGGTTGGGGCGTGTCACAATGAACAGCCTGTGTGGCTCCCATGTCTGTGGCATGCCTGGTGTGCAGCCCTTGGCGGCCCAGAAGCTGGACAGCTCTGGACTAGTTATTTGAACTGTACCATTTTGAATAAGCTGAAATACAGAAAATATCTCTTTTGCAGTTGCAGAGAGAACATTTGCTGTAAAAAATTTGGTTTAACTCTTTAAGAAACTGATTCCAGGTGGTTGGCTTCTACCAGCTGTGGTTCTTGGCTGTCTTTTGGTAGCATAAATAGTCATTTTAAATTTTAAATAATTAAAACTAAACATTTCTAAATAATTTTAAAGCATTTTGCACATCCCCAAACATTCTAGCAAATGCCAGAAGAATGGTTGAAAAGAAGTCGTTCTTGTAATTAGCTTTTGTTGAATTTTTTTATGCTGTCTGTCAGATATTGATTTGTTATAAGATTAAACGATTCTGCTTTCTGACTTACTGTTTGCAGTTTTGATACACTCTATAAAGTGGATTTTCCCTTTTAGTTGAATTGTCCCGTTTCATTTGGGATACTGAAAGTATTAATAGCCTTTAGGGGAGAAGATTGGTGTTTGACTTAGCTTTTTTTGAGTTTTTAGTGCAACTTTGTTACAGCTTGATTTAATTATTCATGTTAATTCTGTGGGTCATTGGTATTCTTACTGCTTTTTAAATGTGTATACATTTCAGTTGATTCAGATGACACTACGCCACTAACATAACTGACTTGCTGTGAGCTGAAACTTTTTGATCTTTCAAGAAATTGCATTATTCCATTTTATTCTTTGTTCTGTGGTGGTAACCTAGTAGCAGTCACCCACATAGATTCATTTCTAAAGAAAACTTCTATGTAGATATAGAAGAGGTTGGTTTTTACCTATGTTAATCTCAGATCCTGTATTTCAATTTTGAAGGTTCCTTTTTGTGGAGAGTTGATCCTACTTTATGACTTCCCATTCTTTCATTCTTTTTGTCCTAGGCATACAATGTAATCATCACCTCTTGTGAAACTGAAATATGTATTAACAATTGGTTAATCTTATTTTTGTTTATATGTTTTATGAAATACAGAAAATGTCTCTTGCACTTGCAGAGGGAACAACTGCTGTCAAAATTTGGTTTAACTCATAAGAAACTGATTCCAGGCACTTAGCCAGTGGCCTCTACCAGCTGTGGTGCTTGGCTGTCTTTTGGATAGCATAAATAGTCATAATTTGCTCTGTTTCAGTTCTGCTCTAGTTTCTTCTCCATGCTCTTTAAATTAATTTCCTGTCTGCATTTTAAGATTTAAAAATGAGAAATTTGGGCCTTGTACCTTTTTGCTGCATTATTGGTGGCGATGGTAGCAGTGGTGTTCTAGCACTCTAGAAAGCCCCTGCTTATAGGCAAGAACTATATTATGTATTATACTACTTAACACAAAATACTTTATCACAAAAGAGTAAAACAGGGGGCTGAAAGGCTTACTTTCCCCAAATTGTTTTTTGTGTGTATATTATACCTTCCAGTTGTTTCTAAACTGGAAGATGCCATAGGTATATTCTCCATGGACTAATGCGTAGAAATACCCAAGCTATATCAGAAGAACCTCAGTTGGGTACTGTAAGTTGTATAGCTTGATAAGCCCAGGTGGACTGATGCACTCACACAGCTACGCTGCTTCTCATACACGAGTTGGCTTATACCAGTGGTTTTCAACATTGTTAGATTCAAGGCATCCTCCATAATTTTGGCAGGGAAATCCTAAATTGGCTCTTATATGTCTATCTTCTCAAACCTTGTCTATTCCCTCCCATTTTCTATGGTACCCTTTAGAGGATCTCATGGAACCCTGGTTGAGAATCACTGGCTTGTACAGACCTCATGCCAGTTCTCTCTGTATGCTACTGCATTATGCTTTGCAGACCTACCGTAAACTGGATAGAAAACTATAGACTTAGTGACAAGAATTATGAATGAAAAGAGAAAGAAGGTAATTACTTGGGGCTTTGGGTCGTCTTTTGTTTTTATCTAAAAGTTACAGACAAATCCTTGCAAAACAAGCATTCCTAAAACCAGTTACTTAATAAAACTGAAGATGGCCAAACCTGACATTGTTGTTTATTTTTAAGACTGTTTGGTTGTTTACTAGCCAATTGCCCATCAAGAGTGACCGGGGGTGGGGGGAGGGAAGCAGGTGGGGTTGGAGCCCTGTGCTACTCCCCCCCCATCTGGGCTGGTTTCCCTTCCCTTCTGCTGCTTGGAGTCCAGGAGGAGTGGGCCTGGGCCTGATGCAGGGAAGGACGGGCTGCTTGGGGGGAGGGAGAGTGCGGGCCTGGGCGGACCTGGTGGTGGCAGGGGGATGGGAGGAGCGGGCTTGCAGTCAATATGGGGAGCAGTGGGCCTGGGCCCAGCAGGGGGAGGCGGCTTGCTTGCTCCTCCCCTCCCCCCCACAGCTGCTGTGATGGGCTGGGCTGGGCCAGGCCCACTGTCCATCCGTTGTCCCCCCCCACACACACACACACTGTGGTGGGTCAGTTTTTTTTCCCCAGCTTGGGCTCACTTTCCCCCACCCCGTGTCGGGCCTGAGTCCAGTCCACCCCTGGCCCCAGCATCACTGCCAGCGCCACAGTGTGCCTGCTCTCTCCCCCACCCCCCATCGAGCCCACTCGGGGACAGGAAGAGTGGGCTTGGGGCCAATGTTGGGGAAGGGGGTGGGGGAAGAGCGGGCCTGAGGTGGGAGAGGAGGCCTGTTCCTTCCCTCCCCCAGCCGCTGCTGCAGCTGTATCGAGTCAGGCCCTCAGTCTTCCCACCCAGCCCGCAATGGCAGGCCAGCCTTTTCCCTGCTTGGGCCCGCTCCTCTTCTCCCCACCCCTGTGTTACTGAAGGGAGCCGGGGGGGAGGCAAGGCTAGCCCTGCTGGCCTTGCCCCTGCTTCCATCTGCTCTGTTGCTGCTCTGTCCCCTGTTTCCCCACCATCATGGTAGTGGGCTGCCTTCTGTCAGAACATTTCTTCATGTTCTGATTGGCTGTTTGTCAGCTAATCAGAGCGCATATAGATTCATAGATTAAGGGTCGGAAGGGACCTAGTAGATCTTCTAGCCCGACCCCCCCGCCAGGGCGGGAGAACAACAAAAAAAACCCCAAAAAGAGAAACGGGACTCAAATGAGTAATATAAAGTGTTTCAGACAGACTTAGGCTTTTATAATATTAGAATTGGAATGCAAAGTTCACCCCAGCCTTCCAAGTAAGCAAAAAGAACACAAGTACAATTTTAAAAATCTTTTCCAACCTTCTGAAGACTTTAAAGTGTTTTTAATTCTTTGAGTTTAGCATGACTGCTGTATCTTTTATCAGGTTAGGAAAAAATCTTAATGTTTGGCAGCCTGTAGCCACCAAAACCCCTGTTCTCATGAGTGGAATATAAATAGTGCCTCCTGGACCAGCTGCTGTCTTGTTTTAAATTGTAGATATCTACATTATCCAGCCTTATGTGAAAAATTAAACTCGCTTCTCATGACTTCTTTCACAAATGATGCTGAATGACAGTTGTATCCCATAGTGCTTCTTGGGGACAACATAACCAACCACATTTATTTTCCCTTGTGTGCAGTTTGTGGCTCAACTTTTTGAGCCAAGTCAGAAAAGAAATTTTAGTAAAGAGGTGCTGCATGCCCAGAACACCATTCTTCTGCTTTTCAGTATACGTAGAAACTGAGATGCAAGGAAAGGTGGGTTTTTTTTTATTTTTATTTTTTTATCTTATTATAGTGAAGCTAGGTATATGTTGGTTATTCATAGCATCCTGGGGTGAAGGGTAGCGAGAATTTGTTTAAAGATGGATCAGATCATCAGTTTGTCACACAAGAAGACAATGTATGTGGGATTTGGGGTTTTTTCTTTGCTTTATGACCCAAGTTGTAATTCTTTAGGATTCCCAAAATATCAGAGTGGTCATTTGATATATAGACCTAGATTATCTATAGATGATCTATCTTTTATATTTGCTTTTCTAGCTTCATGTTCAACCAGGCTTTGTTTATCTCTTCTTTTTAAATAATGGATTCCCTCAGATGTGGATTTTTTTTGCTTTTGTTTTTGTGTATGGAGGGGAGGGGAGAACTTCCTTGGCAAAGAATACAAACAGATCTGAAGTTTAAGAAACCAGACAGGTTGGTATCACAACTTGGACACCTGGAGCTAAGCAGGGTGAGGGTTTAGTCTTAGATGCTCTTAATGTAGACAAACTTACCACTAACTTCTCACAACTTGATTTTCTTTCTCTTTGGCTTCTTGTTTTAGAGACTCTACAGGGGTGGGTAATTCATTGGTCCACAAGCGGTCTCCTTTACGCCGAAACCAAAAGACCCCAACATCCTTGACTAAGCTGTCCATACATGATGGACAGAAAGCCAAAAAGCCCGTGTGTAAATTTGAAGAAGGTCAGGATGTCCTAGCTAGATGGTCAGATGGCTTGTTTTATCTTGGAACCATCAAAAAGGTAATTAATTTTAATAAGCTTATAGTATGTCTTGTTGAGACTGTAAGACAGCGGTTCCCAAACCGTGGGTCACAACCCCAAGTGGGATCACATCAGCAGATGGGGTCATGGTGCAGTGCTGTTCTGCACCAGGTCTTGCCCACTGGGCTGCATTGACCCCAGGGGAATGGCAGCAGGGGAGACCCAAGCCCACAGTGGGCAGCCCGCATCTCTCCTCCCCCCACCCCTCAGTTTGCCCACGGGGGAGGGGGCAGGAGGAGGATGCTCCAGCCTCAAAAGCTGCTGATCCTGTGGGCAGTAGCTGTGGGCTGTGGGGCACTTGGGTGACTGGGGAGCTGTGGCTTTGGAGTGAGGGGCACTAGCAGGGGCAGGAGGCTGGGTCAGGAGTGAGGGGCACCTGGGCAGGGTTGGGGGCTGTGACTTGGGAGTGAGCAGCCATGCTGAGGAGGATATAAGGTCATGTTGGAAAAAATGTTGTGGAAGCACTGCTGTAAGACGCACATAAATTGCTTAAACTTGACCACAGTATATTAAGTGTATATTTAGTTAAATATACCTGACTTTTGTTTTTCTTTTACTGCTCATTGTCTCCACTGTATATTTTTATTTTTCAGATAAACAAACTGAAACAGAGCTGCTTCATTATATTTGAAGACAGTTCCAAATCCTGGGTTCTGTGGAAGGACATACAAACAGGCAAGGACTTCAGTAAAACCAGGATTGTTCAGCCTTTTATTTAATGCATTTTAAAGGCTAAAATGGGTTGTCAGCTGATTTTTCTTTTGAAATGACCTAAAAGTTCACTCAGAGAGCAGCTGTATGGTTTATCATGAACCTGCACCAGTAAACCAGACTTATTAAACTCCTGTTCCCAGAAACAATCTGAGCAGGGTGCGGGGCCATAAATTGGCATGTGCGGGGCCCTATCCCCGGATGTGAGGAAGCCCATAGCAAGGGGCAGGGGTTGGCAAGCAGCCGGATGTGAAGCTAGCAGTAGTGCAGACCCACCGCACTCCCCAGCTCTGTGGGACCTTCCCCCCCGCCCTGCCTGTTCCTTCAAATTTGAAACAGGACCCCATAACTTATGAGCAGTAGCCACCGATCACTGACACTGAGGGGTGTGGGTGTTTGACACTTATCACAGAGTAAATTACTATGCAGTAAAGTGAAGAGGATGCCTGATATACAGCTTTATGCCAGTGTCGGTCATTCCACTCCCAGATAAAACTGCCTCTCAAAGTGAGGGGTAAATGTACACTGCTTTCAGTTGTAGTGGCTTATTGACTTGTATCCATTTCCCTAGCAGATTTTATCTTTGTGCCAATCCTTGCCATCCAGGTAGGCAGTTGCCTGTGATAGGTGCTGTTACAGCTAGCTGGAAAGAGCTGTTTGTGTCTGGGATAACTTACCATGGCAGCTGGGAGCAGGCAGTTTGTGTAAGTTATTTGGGGCTTGGCTGATCAAGAAGATGACAGAACTTTGCCCCAAAATCCCCACTTGGTAGCTAATGAAGACTGGAGTGCTGATTATTTTATATACCTGTGATGTGATGAGCCATTTAGTGAGTAGACAGTTGCATTTCACAATTGTTTTAATCTTTGGTGTTCCTTAAGGAATAGACTGAGTTGGAGTCCTCTGATGTTGAGGTAGTGCAGGCCTGGGTGATCCTTACAAGTTCTACATCAAAAAAGAGGGGACACAGTTTTCTCTAACCATAAGTAAAAGATGAAAAGCTGACTGGAGTTGCTAATACTTTAGACTGAATGCTTTCTCTAATATGATCTCAAATAAATGCATTTCTTCCATCTAGTTTCTAAGAAGGTTTTAGAAAGTCACTTGTAGCTTTGGTTCTGCATAGTCTTTGTGCCTTATCTTCTTGCAATTCATGGATAGCAAAGGGATAAATGTGTTTTATTCACCTGAATCCAAGATGACTTCAAAATTTTAAGACAGCCCTTCAGTAATTTGATTCTATACATAAATTAATAGATTGTACGGGGCTGGAAGGGACTTTGCAGATCATTGGGTCCAGCCCCCCAGCTCTAGGCAGGAAGACAACTGGTGTTTGGTGACCCCAGCAAGGTGACTGTCTAGTCTCCTCTTGAAAACCTCCAGGGTGGGTGATTTGCACCACCTCTGGAGGGAGTTTATTCCACAGTCTGGACACCCTGACTGTGAAGGAGTTTTTTTTCTGGTATTAAGCCTGAAGCGGCCTTCCAGGAGTTTGTATCCATTGGTCCTGGTCTTCCCTGGGGATGCCCTAGTGAACAATTGTTTGCCAAGCTCGTGATGCACTCCTCTGATACAGTGGTAAGCTGCTATCAAGTCCTCTCTCAACCTTCTTTTCTTTAGGCTAAAGAGGCCCAGGTCCCTCAGCCTTTCCTCATATGACTTGCCTTGCAAGTCCTTGATTGTATGGGTGGCTCTTTTCTGGATGCTCTCAAGTTTTTCCACGTTCTTATTGAAGTGTGGCGCCCAGAACTTGATGCAGTACTTCAACTGCAGTCTCACCAGTGCTGAGTACAGCGGGAGTATCACTTCCTTAGTTTTACACAAGGTGCATCGGTCGATACATGCTAGCATGTTGTTTGCCCTGTTGACCACCACCTCACACTGACGGCTCGTATTCATACGATGGTCAGTCATTACCCCCATGTCCCTTTTGGCCATGGTGCAAGTCAAGCTGTCGCCACCGAGCCTGTATGTATGTTGAGGGTTGTTTGCCCCTGGATGGAGCATCTTACACTTGGAAGTGTTAAACTTCATCTGGTTCTGGTCTGCCCAACTCTTGAGCCTGTCCAGGTCTGCCTGTATCTGCAGTCTATCTTCTGACATGACCACACTACCTCATAACTTGGTGTCATCCTTGTACTTGGCTATCGAGCTTTTAATTCCCCCATCCAAATCCATTGATAAAGATGTTGAAAAGCACTGGCCCAAGCACGGACCCCTGAGGGAAACCACTGGGTACTTCACACCAGGACAACACAGATTTTTTTCATGAGAACTCTCTGGGTCCTACCCTGTACGCAGTTTCCCACCGGCTGAACCGGCAAGCAGCTGATCCCACAGTCTTCCAGTTTTCCCACAAGAATATCATAGGATACTAGATCAAAAGCCTTTTGGAAGTCTACGTATGTAATGTCTACCATGTCCAGGTAGCAAGAGACCTGGTCATAGAAGGAGATGGATTAGTAAGACGAGACCTATCTGTGACAAATCCATGCTGGCTGTCATTTGGAATCTTACCTTCTGCGAGCATATTGCACGTAGATTCTTTAATAAGTTTTTCTAGGATTTTCCCTAGCGTGGGGGTTAGGCTGATTGGCTTATAGTTGCTCAGGTCCTCCCTCTTCCCCTTCTTGAAGATGAGCACAATGTTGGCCCTCTTCCAATCCCAATGGATTTCCCCTGTGTACCATGAATTCTGAAAGAGTTTTGCCAGGGCTTCCGCGATGACCTCAGCCAGCTCCATCAGCACTCTTGAATGGGTCCTGCTGACTTATAAATGTCTAGCTTTTCTAATTGGTATTACACCCACTCAGCATCCACAGTGGGGAGGCTGTCAGTCCTGGCATGTCCCCTCTGAGCCTTATTTTGCTTGACTTCCCTCTTGGTTCGGTGAAATACCGAAGCAAAGTAGGCATTCAGGAGTTCAGTTTTCTTGAATGTCAGTTACCAGCTGTCCTGTGGTATTAAGCATGGGTCCCACACTTTCATTTGTTTTTGTTCTACTACCTGCTTACCTCAAGAAGGACTTATTGTCCTGGACTCCCGTGGCTAACCTAAACTCCGTCGGCACTTTGGCTTTCCTGATCATTTTCCTACAGGTGTTGGCTACTGTTGTATAGTCCTCCTTGAGGACCATCCCTAGCTTCCACTGTGCGTACACCTTCTATTATTTCTTTTTTTTTTTTTTTAAGATGACTGCATTGTCCCTATTAAGCCAGGGGGGCTTGCCAGCCCTTCTGCTACCTTTCCTCTTTGTAGGAACGGTTTTATTTTGTGCTTTGAGGATTGTATCCTGAGGAATGACCACTCGTGCATCCCATTTGCCTTGTCTTCCTTGTCCCACATCACCTCCCGTATTAATGCTCTAAGCCTGTCAAAGTGAGCATTTTTGAAGTCCAGGACTTTAATCCTGTTGGTTGATTTGTCGGCCTTGCAGCGGATGGTGAACCTGATAATTTCATGTTGCTCAGGTTACTATACATGGAAAGTTATAACTTTGTTTTAATATATATAACCTATATTTATTTATATATGACAGACATTGCGAATGCAAAATGAATTTTTGCATGCAAAACCAAGTGCTTGGTGGTTTATCTATATAGATTAATATTTTTGTTCCTGTACACTTAGTTTGCATATACAATTTGTGCAGCTGTTTCACTTTAACTGTTGATACCATGGGTTTGCTGAACCGCCTGACTAATGAAAAATACAGAGCTATATGGAATCTCTTCCATTACAAATGGAAAAAGGATACAGTTAGTATAGAATACATGTTTTCAGGTACTGAGAGAAACTTGAGCATATACCACTGGCCTGCTCCAACAACACATGGGTATGGTACCTAAAGTAAATTGTAGGAAGAAAAGCACCCAACAGCCTACCTAAGAACAATTTTATTCTAATAATAATGAATCACACTTATCTCTCTTTAGGAGCCACTGAAAGTGGGGAAATGGTCTGTACGATATGTCAGGAGGAGTATTCAGAAGCACCTAATGAAATGGTTATATGTGATAAATGTGGCCAAGGTAACTTTTATTTCTTGGTATTTGCTGCATTTAACAGAACATTTCTGCTTACTACTTTGAAGAGGGATATTTGTTTTGGCCACAGTCAGGTGTAGAATAGAAAAGGCAAGAAGTCAGTGGTCAGTGCTAGACTGCTTTTTTTTTTTAAACCTGAATTTTGTAACCTTTAAAGGTTTTCAGCTGCTGAGGGGGTTTTTTGGTAGAAGTAGCTGACTAAACCTACTCAAAGTGACCATATTAAACATTAAAACTCCTAAGAGCTTTTCAAAAAGAGTATTTGGAATTTGCTAGTTACCATCTTTGCTTATCAGATTTTTTTTTTGCTTTGATGGAAGTTTGCTTTTACTTTCTGTATAGAAATATTAAACAGCTACTTGATAGGAACTAAAAATAGTTTTAAAAACAATGTGTAATTTCTCTTCTAAAAAGTAAAACCTATATTTTTGAAATCAGGTTATCATCAGCTGTGTCACACACCAAACATTGATTCCAGCGTGATTGATTCGGATGATAAATGGCTTTGTCGACAATGTGTTTTTGCAACAACAACTAAGGTATGAGATAGAAATACATTTTGTCTGTTTGGCTGATATACTCTATAATGGAAATTCAAAAATTATGTTTACTGCTCAATGAAATGTTCATATTATGAAATTGAAAATGACTCTTTGCTTTGACCTGGTTTTGGGAAGATGCGTGAATTCAGAGTTGTGTATGTATCTTTAGGACATCTGGTTTTAAAAAGCAGTCAAGCTAGTATTGTAAGCATGACTGCAGGTGAAAATTCTTATCAAACTATTACTATAACCAGTTAGTCTTCAAGTTACAAGGTGTTTTTAATTACAAAAACATGTTGATTATTATATAAACTATGGATGTTGCATTGCAGAGGGGCGGTGCACTTAAGAAAGGACCCAATGCCAAAGCACTGCAAGTCATGAAGCAAACCTTACCATACAATGTAACAGATCTTGAATGGGATGCAGGTCATAAAACTAACCTCCAGCAGTGTTACTGCTATTGTGGAGGCCCTGGCGAGTAAGTAACCATATGGAAGTCTTCTTTCATCTTAATGTAGCTCTGTCAACTTTTGGCCCTGATCCTACAAATGCTAATGTATAGAATCAAATTATTGGAGGGCCGTCTTAAATTCATCCCTGGCACAGTGGGGTGAGCAGGGGGGAAGCAGCAGTGAGGGCCAGATCCCTGCCCTTTGCTGCTGTTCCTCACCCATACCTCCTGTCTCCCCTGCTGTCTGCCATGTGCCCCTCTGCCCCTTGCCCTCCCCATGCCTGTGCCTGCTGCCCTGTTGCCAGTTCCCTCACTACCTCCTCCAATGAGGCCAGTTAATGAAGAATACACCTTTGAAATGAATGCATATTTTTTCTTTTAGGACAGACTGTGGTAAACACATTTAATGTTAACTCTTTATATTGCATCAAGTCTTTCTTTTTCTTTGTATGGTCTTCTCATGACAACCATTAACAAAATATCTGAATGCAAAGATAAGTGACTTGCCTTTTTGTTGCATTACTTCTAATCTGTATCAATACTTTTTTCAGAACCTTATTTATGAGAGTAGTTCTGTTAAAGTTAGTTTAGCTCATATGCATTAAATGTATGCTGAACTATGAGTTTAGATCAGGATATTTCTAAAGCAGTCCGAGTCCATCAGTGCTCCACAACATGGGGCATACTTAACCTATCTTGTGTGGTGGGGGGTTGGTGGTAACAAAAGAGCTTTCTTTACTACTAGAATGTTGTTAGGACCACATATTCTTTTGAACAGTGGGGTCAGCAAGGACTTAGTCCTTACCCCAGGGGTATCTGCTAAGATGGCCGCTGAATAAATATGATAGGCTTGCTGCATTTGTCTGCTGTGCATGCTTACACTGTTATCATGGTGGCTAGTATATTTTTTGTTACACTAATATCTAGGACAGTGGTTCTCAACCTTTTCTGTAGCAGGACCCATTTCTAAACATTGGCCAATCCTGCTGCAGCTCCCCTGTGTGTGTGGTGGGGGGAAGGGGGGAGTCCCCAGGCAGCCTCTTACAGGCTGGAACTGACAGCCTGCAAGGGAAAACCCATGGTTTCCCACATTTTTTTTTTCTCCTTTTAAAGGAGAATCCATTTTTAAAAGCTTTTTGATCCATTTTAAACGTTTGTTTGCAACCTTTTCATATTTTCTTACAACCTGTGGGTTGAAATGCTGATTTAGGACACTGAGGTGTGTGGTGGTAGTGGTAGGAAAGTTGTCTGGAGGAGTTATAGAGTAATTAGCAGGAATCTGGGTTTTATGTTTCCTATGGAAAAACACGGATTTTTCCCTGTGATTTATTTATTTATTTTTATAATTTCCCTTTTAAGGAGAAAAACCCAGGAAACTTGGTTTTCTCCTTGAAGGCTGGCAGAGTTCCAGCCTGCAGGGGCCTGCTTGAGGCTGGGGAGAATGGGAGGAGGGCAATCAGTTGCAAGTGGCAGAGGCAGGGCCACGGGGCTGTGGTTTGGGAGTGAGGGACACTAGCTTGGGAGCCCTGATCCTGCAGTGGGCAGACTGCATCTGCCCCGCGCACAAGTCTGGGAGGCATGTGCTCCCCATGCTCTCTGCCAGGAGTGTGCACAGTGGCTAGGAGGCAGCCCCTCGGCCCTCCCCTCCTGCCCCCCCACCATAGACTTACCTGCCGGAACTTGCAGGAACTGCTCTCATGCTGCCTGGCCACCATGTGTGTATGTGCACATGCACATGGCGCCCCCTGCCTGATTGCCCTCCTCTCAGCCCCGTGAAGGCTGGAACTGTGCCAGCCAGCAGGGTGAAACCTTAAGTTTCCTGTGTTTTTCTCCCCACATTTTTCTCCTTAGAAGGATAAAATCCATGTTTTTTTTCTTCTTCATGTTTTTGCATTGTGAATGGAAAACCTAGAACCCTGCATATAAGTAACCTAGTCTAGTAATATAAAATAATTATCCCAGTGACCAATATTTGTTTTTGTTTTTTTTAAATGTTGTTGAGAGCTAGAGGTTTGTTAACATAAACATGTTTTACTTTTAAACTCTGAATACATACCACTTTCTGTGCCATAAACCATTTATATTTTTTAAAAACTAAAATTATTTTATATTTTATAGCCATTTATTGTTCTCTTTTCTCCCATCTGATTAAACCAGGGTATCAAATTCATTGGTTTCTGCAGGCCAGATGAGGGGTGTGAGGCCAGTTTGTGTGCCAGACTGGGCCAGCAAACCAGGTGTGTGTGACCTGGCTGTAGTGCTGTGTGCACCCTGCATGCAGTGTGTGAGGCCAATCATTGATCCACATGCAGTACCATGGGCCATATCTTTGACACCCCTGGATTAAACAGACCAGATTGTTTCTCTTGTTTGTAGTCTGTTTCCTAGGTTTCTAGATGGAACAGATAAAAATACCTTGATGTTGTATAATATAGATACCTTTGTAAAAATTTTAAATAAACTTTGACCTGAGAATCTCCCTAAACATAATGTGACCATACAGTCTTGTGGAGCATTTGCTACAATTTGTTTTTTTTTTTAACACTTGGCTGTTTTTAATTTCTTTTGATGAAGCTGGTATTTAAAGATGCTGCAGTGTTGCAAATGTAAACAGTGGTTTCATGAAGCTTGTGTGCAGTGTCTCCAAAAGCCAATGCTTTTTGGTGACAGGTAAGAAGCTTGAACTCAACTCTTTGTTACGTGTTTGTTTGAAATGTTGGGTGTTAAATATTCCATGTGTATTTGATAGGTTTTGTTGTAATAACAATGCATTTAACTTAAAAGTATATGGAGATGTTGCTTATGTAGAATTATATTACAAAATTAAGAGAATTTTTTGGCTTTCTGGCTCTTACTAGAGCAGTTGATTTAAAACTGTGATTTAGATGTGTGGACAGGCTTGCAGTACATAGTTCCTTAAAAATTCAGAGGCTCTGCAGAGTGACCAGTAGATGACTAATTATGGTATTGTGTATGTTACAACTTGATTACAACTAAGTCTTTCCATAAAGCATTTAACTAATTTTATTTTATTTTGTTTTGTTTTTTGTTAGGTTTTATACATTCATTTGCTCAGTTTGCAGTTCTGGACCAGAATACCTCAAACGTTTACCCTTGCGATGGTAAGTACAGCATAAAAAGAAAACGCATGTAATACCCTGCTCCAGAGGCTAACCAGGGTCTTTGAGTATAGCGTTCTGCCAGTGGACAATTAAACACAGTGCACGTAGCAGTTGGCATTTTAAGATGCATCAGAATAAAGTTTTATGAGAAGTGAGTAACTTTGGCATTTCTATAGAAATGAAGGTTACTCAGAAATTTAATCACTGTAAAATAAAAACTTATTAAGTGTTAAGTAGCTGCAGGGAAAATGCATTAAATCTGCATCATTTAAACAATATAAGATGCAAAGAAACTTTGGAACTAAAATAACATCATAACTGTGATGATGGACATTGGATGAAAACGGTACAAAGAAGAAAAATCCTCCAGAAAGGTGGTTTAACTGCAGACTTATTTTCCTGGGAATTTTTTGAGAGACTTTTTAGTCAAGTGATGCCAACAGTTTTGGGGTAAGCTTTGTTCAAAGAATATGAACTAAAGAAATAACCATCAATTTCCTGATCCAATATTTTTGAATTCTAGGGTAGATATAGCACATCTATGTCTTTACAACCTAAGTGTTATTCATAAGAAGAAATACTTTGATTCGGAACTTGAACTTATGGCATACGTTAATGAAAACTGGGATCGATTGCATCCTGGTGAGGTAGGTAGCTGAAATATTCTAATCTTTTGCGTTACTTCAGCCGATAGTCACAAAACAGCTGAGTGAGTTAGTGGACTGTGTTATGCTAGATAATTATAATGGTCCCTTCTTACTTTTAAAATGTTAGTTTTAAAAAAAAAACAAGAAACTTAGGTTGGCAATTTTTCTTTAAAGGAGAAAATCCATGTTTTTCCATGGCAAATGGAAAACCTGGATCCCTGCTGATTTAGAGAGAGCATATATCAGTCTTCCATTTCTGGGCATCATAGTAAGTACAAAATTAATAGGTAAGATAGTTGACAAATACATGAGAATATTTTTAGAAGTTTTAAACCCCTTCAAATGTATTTTGTACACTTGAACATATTTCATCTTGATTGTCTGATTTATGTAGCTTAGAACCTGATACATAACAGTTGCTACATTATTCTAAGTAAACCCTTTGATAGATAATCCAGTCTTAGACAGCTGTGGAAATTCTTACCTGGAGAGCCTTTTAGTTGTACAGCAATTTAAAAAAAAAAAAGGTCATCTTGTAATCATGATTTTTAGATTATATTTAGAAGGTTTTTATGACTTTTTTGCTCAAATAATGCATTAATTTATTTATGCATTATTTATTAATTTAAGGTTCAAAAGATAAGTACAAGAGCAGAGAATGCTGTGGCTTTTACTCTTTCATATCTTTTGAATAAAGTTTTATGAAAAAATTGAATACTCCAGCTGGCTACATGGCTTTGGAATGCTTACTCTGCCTGAAAAGTAGGTTTTATGTCTGATTTTGACTTTTGATTTTTTAGTATTGGGCAGAAGTGGTACAGGAGTAAATTATTTATGTAATTTACAGGGGTCTAGGTTGTAGCTGTGTTGGTCTAAGGACATAGGCAGAAAAGGTTCTTTTGGGTAAATCTGTTACCTTTTATTAGACCAACTTATGTAACTTACGTCATTTAACTGTTCTCCAATCTAAGCAGAATCTTGATGAGTAAGCATTCAAACAGGGTATAAAGTGGGAGACATTGGCTTTCTTTTTTTAAGGGCACTTCCAGTTGGTTAAGTGGCAATACATTTAGACTTCCAAAGGAAGTTGCTTGCTTTCCATTTAAAGACCAAATGTTGAGTGATGCTCAGCCTTTTTCCCTAGTGGGCTGGATGGGCAGTATCCTTTCTGTCTGCTAGCCAGATCCCACTGGTAGTCCCAATCTGGCACTGGGGCCGGCGCGTTGGGTGCTATCCAGCCACGTGGAGAGAATTGAGGCAGCCCAGCTGCAACTTGGCCCTAGGGGGAGTGAAGAGGGGCATGGCCTGCCTCAAACTGGCCCCTAGTTGGGGGGAGGGGAGGGGTGCCCAGCTTGTGACCCAGATGCAGGGGAGGGGGTAGGACCCAGCTGCAACTGGCAGTGTGGGGTTAAGGAATTTGGTGTGGGTAGAGTCACTGTATTAATGGCCACCTCGCCCATGCCACCAAATTTTCTGGGGGGGAGCCCCTCAGAGTAGATGCAATGGCTCTGGAGGTTGAGCACCCTTTGTTGTAAAGTAGAGGTTTTCAACCTTCTTTTAAGGAGTGTACCCCTTCTGGTGGTGGCGGCCAGATGCGGAGTGGGGGGTGGGGGAGGCTTGCATGCAATGGTGCAGGGTGGTGGATGATGGCAGCAGCTGCCATGTGCAAGCCCCTTGCTTCTGGCTGACCCATGCGGTGTCTGTGTGGCCCACAGAGGGGAGCTGCTGCCCTCCCGACACTCCTTGGCCCTGCTTCTGGAAGGCAGCGGTGCAGGGTGGTAGATGGTGGCACTCGGTCCCTACTCTCCTGTGTGTACCTCCTAGCACCTTTCCAAGTACCCCTGGGGGTGCATGTACCCCCAGTTGACAACCCCTGTTGTAAAGCACTTGGAGTAAGATAGTGCAGACAGTAGAGCAAAACTGGAAATGAAGAGATTGTCAAGACTAGGGCACCATGTCTCTTCTTCACTTTGGGGGCAGGTGGAAATACTGAACAACTGTAATTTGGACAGCCTGAGTCACCCTCTTCTTTTCTTTTTTTTGTAAATCTTTGGGTCTTTCCAAGGTCACTACTCAAGTTCTTGTTTTAGGATGCCAGCAGAGTCTGAAAGACAACACAACCTCGGTTTATATTCTGTCTCTCTAAATTCTGGTTGATGTTAAAGTTCACGTTCTTTGGCGATGGGCAGACTGCAGCAAATACTGTTGTAGAAGAACAGTGGAAAACCTGGGGTTCTGCTTATAATGGCACAGGGTTAGGAGTAAAGCAGCTTCAGTAACAAATAGTATTCTAAAGGTTACTATAAATCTGAACCTATACTCTTAAAGGACCTTTCATTTAGGTCAACAAGTGTGTGGTTGTTTTTTTTTTACTATTGAAAATTCTGTAGGGTAAATCACTTCTCAATACTTTACAGCTGGCAGACACACCAAAATCTGAAAGATATGAGCATGTACTGGAGGCATTAAATGATTACAAGACTATGTAAGTTGATTGGGTTTTATTATGCATTTAAATTGCTCTTCAAATTTCATTCTAATGTAGATTCTGCTATTCTCAGGCACCTTAGAATATTTACTCAGAAATATGATCAGTGGTGACTTCAAAAGACTTTATTAGATAAATTAACTCTTTCAGCTTTTAATGTCATATGATAGTTGGGGTAGCTATGGGAGATAAATCATTAGCAAAACTGTTTTAGCTTCCATCCCTTTTTCCACTGTTGGCATCATGTACTTGGGGGGAGGAAGGAAAATAAAATAGAAAAAAAAAGCGTAATATAAAAAGAAGGTTCTAGTTTGTCTCTTTTTAAAGTTTCTATATGTATAAAATGATTTTATATAGCCTTCTTATTCTGAATTAAAAAAAAACTATTTTAAAATTATCTAGGTTTATGTCTGGAAAAGAAATAAAGAAAAAGAAGCATTTGTTTGGCTTGAGAATTCGTGTTCCTCCAGTGCCACCAAATGCTGCTTTAAAGGCTGAGAGAGAACCCGAAGGAACATCTCATGAGTTCAAAATTAAGGGCAGGAAATCATCTAAACCAATACCTGATACAAGGTAAAATAAGTCAGTAGCTCAGTGACTTCAGTAATCATTGTAGTGGTGCTGAGGTTTTACAGAAATAACTCTCGAAATGAATATTACCATTATGATATAGCATACGTCTACATTTCTGGTGTTAGTGTATTACTAACTGCTAAGCAGAAGGAACATGCCAGTTTTGTAGATCCTGTAAATTTAATCATTTTTAATTTTTTCAGTGACAATTTAAAGTTTCCTGTAGTAGCAACTAGACATTTGCAACATTTTTTTTTTTTTTTAAAGGTAACTTGACTTCTAGGCCTAAAATATAATCAACTTCATTTTTTTAAAATTATGTTGCTTATTGTGCATTATTAAACCATTAACATATAGATTTAGCTAGTTCTGCATTTTGATTGTGGTTGATTTTACTTTACCCTTTTGAAGCTGTTATGCTGAAAAATAGTGAAATTTAGAAGTGTTAAGTATAGTAACTAAAACGTAGGTTTTCTATACTCAGTTCTGTTATGCAGCTACCTGAACAATAAATCTAAATAGGAAGTAGGATTTAAAGTTGTAAACCAGACTATGGACAACCATTTACTTTTTGTGCAACACGTCATTATCTTGGAACAGTGTTTAATATATTAACAGTTTATATCAAAGTTGAATTTTATGCATGAGAGTTCAAACCGATTAATGTGCACTCTTAAACCAACTCCTGTTAGTTTTGTATGTTACTGGAAAAAATCTTAAGTTTAATCCATTTCCTAACAATGTTGGTTTGCACTACAAGCAATATCCTGTAACTTTTTTTTAATAAAATTTGTATTTTACAAGGGTAACAATTTAGAATTACTTGTTTAGAGAAACTTTATAAACATGACTGCTCCAGTTATGTAAACAAAATGTTGTGTTTCTTCTAGGGAAGTAACTAATGGTATAGAAAGGAAGGGGAAGAAAAAATCAGTAGGTCGTCCCCCTGGTCCCTATACAAGAAAAATGATTCCCAAAACTCCAGAGCCATCTTCTTTGGTAAGTTTTGGAATCATATTTTCCCTGTAGTGCAGTATATTACTTCTAAGCAGAAATGTGATCATTATGATTTAAACTTTTTTGTTGTTGTTGTGTTTTTTTTCAAAAATTGATCACCTGTCTTTTGAAACTGTCTGAAGTGACTTTCTTTTTCTCCCTTCTCTTAGGAAAAGGAACCAGTTCCAGTGGTAGAGACCCCAGTCCTGGATTTGCCCCCCTCTGTTGGGTAAATGAAAATAACCTCAAGCCAATTCTAAAATACCTTATTTATCCTTTTTCTTATGAAATACCAGATTTTTTTAAGTTAGATTGCTTTCATTACATGGCAGTCCTATTATCTTGCATCTCAGGAGAGCTGATGGAACTGCACATTCATCTAATACCTCAGATGTGGAATCCACAGGTGCTGCCAGTACAAAAGAAACTACCTCATCTAGCATTTCACGACATTATAGGTAATTATGGGAGTAGTATGTATCATTTTAAAATATCTAATATAACTCACGTCATGGTAAGTGTTGATTTCTTCCATGCTGTTTTTCTGAAGAAGAGGCAGGGGAAAGCATTTGAAAAACTTTGCCTTTTAAGGCAAAGCAGCATTTATGTTTCAGGAATTCTGTAGAGCTCTAGTCAGACTTGCTGTAATATTGAATTTGTTCTTTTTGTTATCCATTCTTCCTGTTGTTACTAACTACTGATTAATGGTTACATACAAGCTGCACTTAATCTATTTATAGGAGAAGTAACTTAGCAGTATGACCATTTCTCCACATTAGACTTCTGTTAACTTTTTGAAAGCGCTTATAACAATTCTTATTCGCTTAAGAAAAATACCCAGTTTACATGAAACTGATATCAAATGCAGTGTATTTTGGACCTTCTTTAATAATTGTAGAGCATTTCAATATTGATTAAATTATTATTTAAGTACAGTCTACTTTTCTGACTGTTATGTAAATATTTATTGTTTGGAAAGGTCCTCCCCATACATATTCATATTTAAGAGTCCTAACAATTCTTTATCAGTTGAGATGGTCCCTTGCAAATCATGTCCTAGTTTTCTAATTCCAAATGCATCTCATTTTCCTCTTTCCAGTATAAAGTTGCCAAACACTTTTATGAATGATTTTCATGTGAATTCTGAGAATCTAATGCTGATTCTTAAATCACAGTACATTAAATAAGATCTTTTGAAAAGTAATAGCTGTGGAATAAATCAGCATTTAGGTTTTTGCTTTTTCTTAAGTTTGTTTGAAAAGTTTCAAACACTTAAATACGTTTAGCCTTGGAATTTTAATTTTTTGAGGAACTTACAAACACAACATCTTACTTTACATGCCATTCTAACATGTGCAAGATATAAACATGCATTTAACAAGGACTTATGTCCCTGACACCTGTAATTGTGGTTAGTGCTTACTTCTGTAATCTTTTTTTTTTTTTTTTTTTTTTTTTCCTTGCCATTGGTACAGCTACAGTCTCTCTGAACTTTGCATTTAGAAATTGCTTGGGGTCATGTGGGGGAGATAAAGGCTGTCAGTGATCAGAAATGTAAAATTGTATTGACACACACTAACAATAATGAAGACCTATTAAAAATTTTTTTTTTGCAGGTGGGGAGAGAGGGATTTGGGAAAAAAAATAATTTCCAAACAATTTGCCTATGGAAAGTTTGTGCCATACATTTTGTTTGGTTGTATACAGTTTTAACTAATATCAGGTCCCAGATGCACACTGCAAGCTGTGACTGTGACTCCATAAATGCTGCCATGTTAGCAACGCCGAAACAGATTAGTTGCCCTTGTATCTATGGATTCTAATAATAGTCCCAACAGTGGTTGTTAGTAACTTTGAAAAGGAGGAGAACCTAGTTGGTTTGGGGCTGCTAATACTATACTACTGGTAACACTGTGTACTTAAAAAGCATTAATTGTTTACATTAAGTTTGGCTAAGTAAACTGCCCTGCCCAGTTATTTTTTTTGAGGAGGGCAATATAAGTGCATAACTGTTGCATGCAAAGCCTTGTTCAATCCTAAAACTATGCGCTTAAATGGAATATACTGTATTGTAGGTTGTAACAGAGGGCTCGTCTCCCTAAAAATTTCACCTTAATTTAAAATGTGAATTTTAAACTGCTAAAATGAAGCTGGTGCAGTTCCCTTTGGTGATTTTTAAGATTGAGCGTAAGCTAAACAAAAAATCATTCTCGAGTAGGAGCCTACATGAGTTTGTGTCGTCAGTTTAACTGAAGTTAATTTTTAAAGTAATTTAGTTCAGCTGGTGTAATTTCTTGCGTAATTTAATGCTTTGGACTATGAGTTTGTCTTTGTATGTAAAGCACCATGTGCACCCTTGATATTATACTAATGATAAATAAGATACCAATAAGTTATCACTAATGAGAATGGTACAAGCATTGCTGAAGTAAAGTAATATTCTACAAGGTAATATTAGTGTCTTTTTATATTGTCTAGCTTATCTGACTCCAGAAAAAGGACTCGTACAGGAAGAACTTGGCCTGCTGCAATACCACATTTGAGGAGAAGAGGTCGCTTTCCAAGAAAAGCACTCCAGACTCAGAATTCAGAAATTGTAAAAGATGATGAAGGCAAAGAAGATTATCCATATGATGAACTCAATACAGAGATTCTTAATAATTTAGCAGATCAGGAATTACAGCTCAATCATCTGAAGAACTCAATTACTAGTTATTTTGGTGCAGCAGGTAGAATAGCTTGTGGTGAAAAATATCGTGTTTTGGCTCGTCGGGTGACACTTGATGGAAAGGTGCAGTATCTTGTGGAGTGGGAAGGAGCAACTGCATCCTGACTGTAGGACTGAACATTATGTTCACTGCACTGTCATCTGTAGGTACAGTTTTTAACCCGGAGCCCTGCAGGAGATGTGTCTTTTAATGTGTTTCTAAAAAAAAACAACAAAAAAAACAACAAAAAAACCCAACAAACCAATTTAGCCTTAACATGTACTTCTTAACATTACAACTATTGTAATAAAGACGTATCTTTTTAAAATCAGATCTGATACTTAAATTTTTTAATCTGAGCATTGTTAGATTGTTTTAGGTTGGAATATTTTGGGTTACAATTACTTAAAAATGTGCATGTTTTTTTTTAAAAAAAAAGACATTTTCTAGAGAACATTCCATGGACGCAGTTTTGTGATTAGGAAAAATATTATGTAGATAGCACAAATCTTTGGAGAAACTTGGTTTGTTTTCTTACCCAAATGTTTGCAGAAATGTATTTCTATTTCAATATCCTCTAGATTTCCTAAAGTGCAGTGTATATAATGCCTACTGAAGACTGTAAAATAATATTGAAGTTTTCTTTCAAGCAAAGTGTAAGAGAAAAAGAGGAAAAAAAAAAGAAAAAATATATTGAGCCTGTAAATTGCTCTGTGACTAGACTTTGTTGTCGTCTTAATATATTCTTTGTGTGTGTGCGTGCTTGTGCGCGCGTGCGTGTGTGTGTGCATATACATATATGCACACACGTTCTGTGTGTGCGTGTGTATGTGTGATTGTGACCTATGCAATACAAATTATGGGATCGGGCAGCTTTTGGAGTATAAATCCCATAATTTTTTTTATCAGGAATAGTTGCAGTATTTACAGCAGCATTTCTTCTCAGGCTTTATTGGGTGCTGTTGCTTGCTATGTACTAAGGAAAAGTGTCAAATCAGTGCAGTGTGTTCTGACAATGGATGCAGTCACTGATATCTCCATATACTCCTGAAAATGTACTCAATTAGTTTCCTTAAAAATCAACTGCTCAAAACCATAAAGCAGGATTTGAATATTTTGAACATAAAACTCTACTAGAAGTATTTTAAAGATTTTTGTGGCCCATTGATTGTAAATCATGTCCCAGTTTTTTAATAATAAAAAAGTTGATGGGAATCTCATAAAAAATCCTACAGTATCTATGGTGACTGTTAGTCATGTTTTGGATAAATGTAGTATGAACAAAGTATATTGTTGCACAGGGTCAACAAACAGTATGTTGCCACTTTAAGTAACATTACTGCTTTTATTACAACATTACCTCTTTTTGTTTTTAAAAATGTACCAAGTTTTAAATTGCTAAGTTAGTTTATCTTATTTGTAAAAAAAACAAAACAAAACAAAAAAACAAAACAAAACAAAAACAAAACAAAAAAAACCTACACAGTTTATTGCCAGTATTAGATGTATTTCTTGTCTTTTTTTTTTTTTTTTTGAGGGGTTTTAGCCAAAGAGTTAATAGAAGAATATTTTTATTTTGGTGGTTCTTTATCTTACTGCTTGAAGCTTCTTTTCTTACATACTTGGAACTTGCCACCAAAATAAAATTATGTAATGTTTATTAATTACATAGTGGTTTAAAATGTACTGCCTGAGTTGCTACTTATTTATTCCATTACTTGATTATTTGACTCTCTTTTTAATATTATTGCCTGTTTTGAACATCTTCAAAAGATGATTTTTCTGTCACCTTATAGCCAAAGGAAGCAGAGAACTTTGTTGCCCTGTGCTTGGTTTGTAGTTGGCCAGGTAATAAATGAGCTTTACAAAAGTGCTAATTAAAAATTGCCACTTCTATTTCACTTCTCTAATTTTTTTCTCACACCCTCAGCTATTAATTTAATGTTGCCTTGCCTGTAGCTGCAATATTTTGATAACATAAGTTCATGTTCATTTGAATGTTCATATCTTGGGGTAATGCAAAATGTAAAGCCTTTGTAACCTTACTCACACCACCTGTTCTGTCTTGTTTTGTTTTACCCAAATCCTTTAATTTAATTCTAACTGAACACCAGCAGTATTTTCAGTAATGCTTCCTTTTTGAAGATAAATATTGGAATGTACTTGGGAGTTGTGGGGGAGAACATTTGTCAAACTAAACTGTCCATAGACTTTTTAACTATTGTGAATGTCTGTTTCATTTTACGGTGGTTGACATGGCTCTGATGTTCAGTTTGTATTTTTGGAATTGCTTTTCTTAGAATTAAAAGAGACCGACATTAAATGTGTGTATTTTTAAGAGAGAAGAATGAGTTTTGCTTCTGTATTCACATGAAATACACACTAGTTCTTTATACTGTCTTCCCTTGCACTCTAGCCAGTTTGATTCTTGCCTTGCACATAAACCTAGATGTATTTACTAGATTCCTGAAAGTCTTTCTAATACCTTCAGCAAATGTTTTGGTTTTGAGAACATGAACTGGAAACTTGACTAAGAAACGATGCTACTGGAGCAAGTTGATTCTCATCTGTGAATCCTTTGCTACCTTTGTATGCAGTTCCTAAGTATACATAGTCATGAACTGTCAGGGGGATAAAGATCACTATTTATAACAATTAGATTTTAGTGTGACTTTGTCATTGTCAGTGTATAATTTCTTATGCACGTTCACTGAGTTTTTGCAACCTTTTCCTTGCATGACTAATTAATACTTTATGAACAAAGTCTTTGCACAGGGTTATGTCTTTATTTGTAGTACAGTAGTATCTAGAAACCAGGGCCAGTTGTATTAGACAATGTATGAATAAGTAACAGAGACCGTCCCTTCTCTTACATCAGAAAGATAAAGTACTATGGGCAAAAAGAAACAAATTATTGGTCAGCCTAGGAAAAACTGCTCACAGCAAGCCATTTGTTTAACTTTTGCATTTTGGAGGCATCAAAACAGAAACATTTCAGGGAGGGATTTGAAGGAGAGAAGTAGCTTTGGGAAGTAGCTTACTTGTGAGTAAGTCTTTGTGTGCATTGTGGGCTTCATGAGAGAAAGCACGAGGGACTTGGAAAATTTAAAAAAATTGGCAATCTTAATTTGTAGACACTTTGCTTCGTGCCACATCTTGATGTAAGAGAAGATATGACAGAAATAAACAGTAAAGAAATTTGAAAGTGAATAAAGGTAGCTCATGGTGAAGATGGTGGAGCCAAAAGTGAATGGATGCATAGGGAAGGCTGACATGGTAAGAGAAACAGCCTAGAAAAGTCATCTTTTCCTTTTTGAATAAACAAATGTAGGCAGAGAGAAAATGTTGCAAGACTGCAAGAGTCAGGACACAAAATGATGGACACCTCAACTAGGGAATTTAACTTTGTGCATGGATAGCAAAGTCTAGATTGTCCAAATGCTATGTAGAATGAAGCAGTCTGAGTAACAGGAAGGATGATGTCTACAGTGAGAGGCATAATATGAAAAATTCAGGAGCTCAGTTTTGGCTATGTTGAGTTCAGACAGATGGCTGTACTTTCAGGAGAGAATTTAGGCTCAGACTTTGGTTTCAAGAATGAGAGGTCAAGAGTGGGGAGAGATCTGTGAGGTGATATGTACAGAGTTACCTGACTTCTTTTTTCTTTTGCAAATGAGATCGCCTAAGAATTGGAGAAGGAGGACTGACCCCAAAGAATTCCCTTCTGTTTGTAAAAGAATTGGAGGGAGAATGAGATGTTTTCTGAACAAAATTTAGTTGGTAGAGCAGTGAGGGGACAAAAATAAAATGGAGAGAAGTCATGGATACTGAGGGTAAGCAACACTTTTTCAGAAAGAGCTTTGCCCCTGTCACAGGCAGCTGACAGGTCAAGGATGAGGATGGGAAACTGAGCTTAGGCCAGAAAGAGATTATTGCACATTTGGCAATTGTTACAATGGATTAGACGGAACAAAAGTTAGATTGGAGAGCACTGGTTGGATGGAATTGGAAGACAGAAGTTCCAGGTAACTAGATATTTGGAAATAAATAGAAGAAGGGTAATGGTTATAAAGTGGTCAAACTGTTTGTATTTTGAAGGGGAAGAAACAGAAGAGTCGGACGTTGAGAAGGGACAAGGTGGGGATGCTGGAGAACAGATTAAGGGAGGGGAGTAGATAAAAATCTTCATTTAATGGGGTAGGAAAGGAAGGGAGCTGGGAAAACTACAGCTTAGGGGCTTTTTTATTTAAAAAGTGATGCTTTGTAGAGAGACAGTTTTGAAGTGGGGAGGGGGAATCAGAAGGCAAATAGCAAAACCATACTGTGTATTGAGCATCATGCTCATGCTGACAGATTATGAAACTTGCATTTAAGTTTTTCTGAGGTAAACACCGGGGTAATTGGCTTCTGTAATGATGTGTATAGGCTTTCAGTTTTGGGTGAAGGTTTAGCTCACGTGTTAAACTAAAAATTGCATTTGGGAAATGTATGATTAGTATTGCCATAGTTTTTAATTAGTGTAAATTTCGGTATCTAATTTTAGGATGTCAGTCGTACTTGCATAAGGCTTAACTTAATGCTGACTTTAGGCAAACTTGCCAGGAAATGCACAGTGTACATAGCTGCTGCAGTACATGCACACCTGATTTTATCTGCTGTATGTTTCCATATATGACGTGATCCAGATTCCTCCATCCTATTTCTACTATTTCTTCCTTCATTTTAGCTCTTCTCTCATTTAACTCCATCCCACCTAGACAGTTGAGCTTGCTTTTGTTTCACCCTCTCCAAAGTATAGACTCTGATCTTCCACCCTCCTGTTTTTCTCTCTGCAGCTGGATTCCAGATGGTATACTGTCAAAATGTTTCTTCTCTACAGTTTTTGAGCAGCAGCTGTCGAAGCCATCAGTTAGATCAGGAATCCATGCCTGATTTGGTTAGTATGTGGGCCTGACTTCCTTTTTTCTCATCCTGTTTTCTGAACATTGACCGTTTTAAGTAAGTGACTAGCT